GTTAACGCTAAAAACTAAGGCTTATCCTTAAACTCTGCTATCTGTAACTCAATTTCATGAATTATTGTACTACCAAAGAAAAAAAATGATTTAATCAGCAATACACCAATAAAAACATCTCTTTTATTAATAAACAGATGCAAGCACGATTTAAAAATTGTTAAAAGAATTTCCGTAAACTGATTCTTTAAAATATGTTAGTTCCATAAAATTTTATACTCCGTTCAAAATTTTGATCTTAAATTCTTATGCTTCAAAACTTTTCTTTGTCAGAAGTGTTTAAGACAACTCTATACTGTCGGCATGGTGTCATAATATACGAAATAGTGAGAGGGAAGCTACACGCGAACTAACTTCCGTTGATCTCCAAAGAGATTTTATCTTAACGCTTTTGGCGAGCAAAAAAAAAAGAAAATCATAACTACATTATTTTGATCATAAAAATTTACCATAGTTTTTACTTAAAATTATGATTAAAAATACGATTGAAAACGGCATTAACTTTTTTTCATTTTTTGAATAAGTTAACATAAAAAATTAAAGCTTAAATATTAAAATCCTTAAACATTCTTTTCTTAAACTTAATTTTGTGAATTATCACAGAACCATAAAAAAGAATTATATAATCCATAATGTACCAATAAACAAATCTCCTTTTTCAATTAACTGAAGTAAACACGATTAAAAATTGAAGCCTTAAACTGATTCTTCAAAATATATTAGCTCCATAAAATTTTATACTCAGTTCAAAATTAAGAACTTATATTCTTATCTTTCAAAACTTTTGTTCGTCAGAAGTGCTTATGACATCTCTATATTGTCGGCAGGGTGTCATAATATTCAAGGGAGAGAGAGAGGCTGCACGCTTATCCACTTCCATTTAAGAGATCTTGTTGGATTGAAATCCATAACAACGCCTTTGGTGTTAAAAATATCATAACTACATTATTTTAATCATAAGAATCATATAATACTATAGTTGTTTATTTTTTATTTAAAAAAAAAGTTTTGATTGAAAACGGTGTCAATTTTTTTCATTTTATGAATAAGTTAACATTAAACATTAAAGCTCATCCTTTAACACTCTTTTCTTGAACTCAATTTTATGAATTATTGCACAGCCATAAAAAAAAGAACCATATAATCCGTAATATACCAATAAACACATTTCTTTTTTCAATAAACTGAAGTAAACATGATTTAAAAACGAAGCCGTAAATTGATTCTTCAAAATATATTAGCTCCATAAAATTTTATACTCCGTTCAAAGCTTAGATCTTATTTTCTTATACTTCAAAACTTTTCTTTGTCAGAAGTGTTTATGACATCTCTATGCTGTCGGCAGGGTGTAATAATACACAAAATAGAGAGAGAGAGGGAAGCTGCACGCGAATCCACTTCCGTTTAAGGGATCTTATTTTGTTGGATTGAAGTCAATAACAACAACGCATTTGGTGAGTTAAAACGACAAAAAGTAACATCTGCCCCTGGTTTTGACTTGTTACGCACACTTGTGAAGAGTCCAGCAAGGAAGTGGGTATTAAGAATGTAACGAATAATCTAACCGGACGTTGTAGGGGGGGGGAGTGAGTTGCGAATAAATAACAGGCGACCTGTTCAAGAACAGATGGTGTTGTATTTCTGGCGAATTAAGCTCAAATGGATTTCAAGAGACCTTCGAAAATTTCAGGATTGGCATCCTTAAATGGATAATAGGGCTCAATAGTTAGAAAATTTGTTGCGTGTTGATATCTTTTTTTTTCGTGTCTTCGTAAAAAAAAATTATCTGTGGATATCAGCATCTGATTTCAATCAGAGATCGAAGCATCTGATCGGAGATGGGAAAGGCGCTGCCCCAAAATCTCAGTGATTTTAATAATTTTCGGATCTTGCGTTTCAGAGGTGAGGACAGTAAAATAATAAACCAAATTTTCAAATTGTTTTGAGGAGGGTGTCTTTTTTGCGGTGAAAAACATAATTTCAATGCAAGCGATAAGACGTTTCTAATGTCAAGTAGTAATTCGTATAAATTTTTAATTACCGATGGATACTTAAAATTGCCACAATTTTCTTCGCTTTTGCAGCAATCGTTTTCTAGAAAATTCTGATAGTGAACGCCTTGTCAATTTGAGGAAATTGTTATCTTCACTTGTTTGGGGATACGAATTTCGTCAAGCGCATTTGGTCTGTATTATTTCAAATATATTATTGCTTAGGAAATGAGTGCTCACTCGTTACCAGGTCTTGAACCCGGAAACCTGAGCCTCACTAGCTGCTTGGCACTAGCTGCTTGGCACTAGCTCCTGTACCATCCTTTCAAACCATGAAAGGCGACACTCTATTGTTCTTTTGTTTTAAACTATCTTTATTTATTGGTCATTACAAGTCTAAAAAAATCTTTTTAACCCAGCTTATTACCCGTTTACTAAGGATTCACATCTTAACGAATTATAAGGATTTAGTTCAGTAGTAGAAAGATTCGGTTTCGTTTCCATAACATCAACTCTTGCAGTGAGACCGAGTACGGCAAATTGGAGTATGACCGTATACTACCTTAACCATATAACCATATAGAACAGATTTAGAATATCAGGTTGAGGAAAGGAAAAAAAAGAACAAAAAAGATTTGCTATCTAGAGAAAGAATGTATGTAAAAATGATATATATATACATATATGTTAATAAATATGTGCTA